GAACTAATAGGAGTGTAGGCTAAAAGAGTCGATCGCTTACCTCGAAAGGTCATGTTATTGTTATAATCGCTTCCATGCATAGGATATTCATAGGGAACTTGAGAATATCCCATCTGAGCTTGAGGCATCGAAGGAACCTGAGAGAAATATATTGTTGGCAGTTAAGTCAATAGATAGGTGATGAACTTCAGTAGACACGGTAGAAGAAACAGAAGCTGTCGACAAATGAATATTATGCCTCACACTCATTTCATTTTCAAAAAAAACTTCTATTATGTTTCATCTGAAGAAGAATGTGGTCTAGAACACGCAACTTCCAATGAAGTGCAGATACGACACTGCCAGGGATCCGGAGCAGCTCACTGCTTGCTGCATTTGAGAAACGAAACAACCTGAGATTATCACAAGAGTACTTTTTTATCGGCAAAAGTCCTGGCTCCAGGCGGGAATTAAACCCAGATCTCACTCTGGGCAGTGCGCTATCCGTTACGCCACCAGGGTCACTTCCATGACTTTCATCCCATAGCCATCAGAGGGAAAGGTAACGTCTTATTTTCTGCGGATGCTAAGACGAATCAAGTGGGGACTGGGTGTGATGTGGCGCCAGCCCGTTTCCCACCAATTATGGTCGCTTATTACCACAACAGTAGGTGGGGCACTGGCTGGCTGCCGAAACCCGCCTCCTTGAACGCCCCTGAACGGCAGTGAATGAGACTATAGGTGAACTTTCGTAACTTCTGCCCATAACTCAGGACTCGTGTAACAACTTTCGAAGCGCGAACTGCTTCGGTAAACAACAGTCATCATAATAAACAAGCCTAAAAATAATCTTGAGAAGAAAATTTGCTGGGTATGCAGTCAGTGGCATAGAAGCCGTAACCATAACCATACAAGGCCACTAGAACAGAGGCTGTGTCATGTAAAGGTAACAATAGTATGGTTTCTGGCGGCGCTACAAATTCAAACACAGCTGTACAATCCGGTTCGATTTTATAGTTTTTTCTTTCTGAATTCAATCCATTCACTTTTGTTTCTAATGGCTTATATAATACTGAGCTGCCTTTTTTTTTTCCGTACACTGATTTTGATGTAGTTTTGATACAGAACACTGTGATGATTGATTTTATATATCGTTGTCGACTTTAATTATCCAGACTCAGGATTGCTATTGATGTTTGATGTCTTGCAGTGGTGCGTCATGTTGATCCCGATTGCGAAATTGTTCAATCAATTTCAATTGCTCAATCAAAAATACATCAAAATTCAGTGTTAAAGAAAAAAAGGAGCTCAGGATCAGATAAACATGAGAAACAAAGAGAAGGGATTGAATTCAGAAAGAAAAAACATAAAGGGAACCTGGAGTTTGGTACAGCTGTAGCGCTACGTCGCGCTACAGCTGTAGCGCGACGTAGCGCTACAAGTGTGAATGCTGCCGTAAAGACAACAATGGTTTCTGGCGCTACAAATTCAAACACAGCAGTTAAACCAGTTATCACAAGAAGTACAGTCCCATTCGCTGTAAGCGCACGTCTCAGGACTGGATTTGGCGCGGCGCCAGCCTGTTATTCCACCATCTGTGGAAGCTGGCAGGCGATCACAATTAGGTGGTCGTCTGCCAGACGCTGCACCAAACATAGCCTTCCCGAAACACCCGAGCTAACAAGACTTGTAAAGCAAATAAAACAAATGGAATTCAGTTATTTTACAGGTCACAAAGGGTTCGAAAAATACTCACCCCGTTTTGCTGGTGAACGGGAAACGGGCTGACACCAAGAGCGGGCACCTAAAGAAAGGGCACAAGGATCAAAACGAGTTGACAGATGCTACAGACTACACTGACCTCAGCTTGGTGGTAGTGACTATAAGAAGGAACATTCACATCTCCTTCATAGCGCATATACGTTTCGCTAGTGTTGTATTGCACACCGGGTCTAACGTTCATTTGTGCCGGGCCATATTGGAACTGCGGTTGAATTCCTGCAGGTAATCGCGGTCTGACCATCATAGGAACTCGCTGAACCGCTACGTTTCGTTGAGCTCGTTGTTGCATCACGGACTGCATCATGGAATACGGCATGTTTGTTGGATGAGCAGCAGAAGCCATCTGTTCTTGAACGGAAGATCGTGGTAAATACTGGATCCCAGGTTGAGTACCAGTGACAACGAAGTGTGGAGGCATGGTGCCTTCACGTCGGGCCAAATATTCCCGCT